CAACAAGGACTCCATTTTCTTTTAAACTGCACTTTAGAAGTCACTTAAACTTTAGGTGAATTCATTCCTCACCTCTTTCCCTCTTATTTACCCATAAAATCCTCCAAAGAGAACAAATCACTAACCTAAGGAACAAACAGTTAAAACAAATTGTAGATAAACTAAAATTTAACAGTACTAACCCCTGGGAGTAAACTTTGTGACATTTTTTTGTAAAATTCCAAAATGAGGCAATGTGATACCATGATTACTTGTAAATGTATAAACACCCAGTACACAGTTCTCTGATCTTGGATGTTCCATCATTTTGCATCAGGTCATCATCCTATGGCAATAAAGGCCTCGTTTGTTCCCATTCTTGGTCTCCTGTGAGTGTCTATCTTGTTGAATTTTGCTGCAACTATTCGCTAACAAAATATGAATGGCTAAATTTGTGATAAAATAGGATCTTAGAACAAAGAAACAGCAAATTGATTTTATAAAGCAGACCCTTTAATTGTAGAAAAATTATTCAAAGCCCACGATGAGGTGAAGTATATATTTTTTGCTATATATTTTATGTAGCTGATGAAATGACTTCATGTGGCATGCAAAAGCATAAGTTAAATTAAAACATTAAATCTGCTTGAGGTAAGGTTTGATTCTTAAGAACTCAAAGACAAGGCAGGCCAAATAGCTCAGTAGATTAAAGTGCCTGCTTAGGCAGACGAAGGGGATGGAGGTTTGATCCCTGGGCCTGCAGTGCCTGCCCCACCCTTCAGGGTGTGCTGAGAAGGTGACTGAGACTGGGCATGGTGGCGTGAACCTGTAATCCCAGCGCTTGGGAGGCTGAAAACAGGAGAATCACTACGCATCCGATCTATGTAGGGAGACCCTTTAGGCTCTGTAGACTCTGTACTAAACATAAAAAAATCCAAAAAAGTCCTCAAAGACAAATGTTAAGAAGGTAGTAAGGCAAGTAGGTTGTAGATAGGGCCAAAACCAGGAACATAAATAACTAAAGTTTGACAACAGTATTTGTTAGCAAGTTAATTAAAAGTCACACGCTTGAAACACACTTCATTAGAACTTGCATCATTTTGATACACTAATTTTTCCTTTATTTTCAATATATTAATGAATTCTTCTAAAAAGAGTTTATACTTTGACTAGGACTATAAAAATTAAAATAAATGCTTGACTGTATTAACTTTTCACAGAAATAAATTAATGCTCAGTCAATTTCCAATGGTGACTAATTAAGAAAGTTTCTTTTCTTCTCTTTTCTTTGGTGATACTGGGAATCAAATTCAGAGCCTGCTACCTCATGCCTAGACAGATGTTCTACCACTGAACTATATTACTAACTCTGCAGTTTTGTTTTTGTTTATTTTTGATATTATGATCTTTTCATTTGTTTACTTCTTGCTATGGAGAAATACAAATATTTTATATTTTAAAATATTTCATAATTAAGAATGAATGAAATATATTGGCTTCTATATATTATGTCTGCTTAGGAAAGCTATCTACTTTTTGAGATTATAAAATTATATAAATATTTCTCCTATATTTTTCTCCTACATTTCATATATAGCATTTAGATTTTTAATTCATAAAACTCATTAAGATGTAATCTGTGAGGTAGTAGTGTAGTTTTTGATTTCAGACATGTTATCCCAAGATAATTTATTAAAGAATTATTTTTTTCCATTTAATTTAGAATGCTGCCTTATTCAGGAGACATTAATTACCCTTTATTAGGATACATAAAGGGAGAATAATAATCCAAATAAAGTAAAACGTTAACCACGGAGAACACTGGGAAAAAAAAACATGGTGTCTTTGTAGTATTTGTTCATTTTTTCTGTCAGCTTAAAATTATTTCAAAATAAAATTGCAATCACATATATTAGTTCCTTTTTCTTTTGTATTTATTACAGGGACTACAGGGTCTCACTACTTGTGGTGATCCTCCTGTTTTTCAGCCTCCCAAGTGCTGGGATTACAGGTGTGCAACACCATGCCCTGTTTCATTCAGTGTCTCAGCGCGCCCCGGTGGGGGGCTGGCACCCACCTTGGGATTGAACGCCAGTCCCTGTGCCTGTGCTTTAATCCACTGAGCTATCTGGCCAGGCCTATATTAGTCCCTTTTAATTCCCTTATTTTGGCAAGTTAGGAAGACCAAGCTTTACTCACTCTTCCCAATCATAACCTAGTTTGAAAGAATAGAATACTTAGAAAATTCACAAATGCAGATGAAACAGGAGATTTTCAAATGGCTGGAAAAATACTCAATAATCTCAAAAGCAATTGATAAGGGTCAAGTTGAAGAACAGACCTTAGGCTTGGGGAGACAAGGGAGGGCCTTCACACCATGCAATTTTGGGGCCTACCTTTTGGGAGAGCTCTATTAGCTAAGCAAACCTCAGTGCGACAAGCACTAGCACACAAGGAAGGAAGAGGACCCTAACTGAACGGAGGTCCAAGAAACAAGCTCTTCTTCCTGCCGTTGACAGTATTCAGTTGTGGGTTGAGAACATCCCTGACTCTGACCGGTTAGGACAGTGACTTCCCCCACCGCGGATGTGCAGAGATCGATCTCCAGCGTTCACTCAGACCTGCTCCTCTCTGGGAGGGAAGATAAAGCCCTCATTTCCAGAAATGTCATCACCATCTTAACATTCACTTCTTTTTTTTCCCCCCATATAGAGGGTGTTCAGGGTCTCACTACTAGATTGGTCTCGTAGTGACCCACCTGTTTACAGCCTCCCAAGTGCTGGGATTCTAGGCATGCAGTGTGTCCCTGGGGCAGGCCAGCAAGGCAGGCCCAGGGATCAAACCCTGGCCCCTGCGCCTGCTTGCAGGCGCTTTAATCTGCTGAGCTATTTGACCAGCCCAACACTTACTGCTTAACCAAGTACCTTTTCATCAATGGGTGCCCCTTCTTGCATAGAATCGAAACTTTTTGAAATGTTATTGGCAATATACAAGAGATACTAACTAAATTTACTTTTTTTTTTCTTTCTTAAAATAGTCTTCTAAAACACAGACTCTACTTTGTAGAAAATTCAGGATTTCCATCTTAGGAATACTGTAGTAAATAATTGTTATATTGATATTTTGTGTAAAAAGTGTTTATTCTCTGAATCAAAAGAAAAAAAAAACATTTCTGAGAACATTGTAAAGCACACTAAAGCTCACCAAATTTTATAATCTGCGTCAGTGGCCCTGGGACCTGTGGTCAATGCGGCCAGTGGACCTGACAGTGGGTAACCTCTAAGTTCAGCCGCTCTTGGCAGAGCTGCAGTTTGTGGATGAGTGGCTTTCACATTCCTTTGAAGGCAGTGAGTCCATCTAGGAGGCCATACTAACTCCTACTTAGTCCTTTAAAGTGTGACCTTTGCTCAAAGGTTGATGAAAGTCCTCTACTAAAGAAGATGACATTTTTTTTCAGCTAGTTTTTAAAAGGCTGAACATGGGAAGATTGTTCAGTAGTGGTGGTAATAAAGGTTTGCATCCGGTGAAAATTGTTTTTTGGATACAGTAAATAAGGGCATTGTCAAAACAGAGCATATGTGTGACCAACATATTAAATTAACTGAATTCAGAAGGACAGAATTAGAGATGAACTCCTTATTCTCCACTACTGTCACAGTTACATCAGGAATACGCAGTATTGTCAGTCCCCAGTTTTTATAAAAGATAGCATTCTTGCCATACTACAGTCAAATTCTGTAATCCCCTTTTGCCCTGATTTGCAGGTTAAGAAGGTAAGCTTACCTGTGTTAGAAGATCCATCTCTCCCAGCAAAGTGCTGAACATTTGGTCTATGTCATCATTTGATTCACCCATCTGAAAAAGAAAGAAATTCAGATATATAGCAGTCTGACAAAAGTTCATCCTGGGATAATTGTTGTGGCTTTGTTGTAGGCAGGTGAGTTAGATAGAAATATTATAAGCAGTCAGATAGGGCTGGGCCCCCAAGGAGACAATATGGAAGACAAGGTGACTTTGCAAGGAGAGATAGGCACTTCTGCTTGGCCAGACCTCAAGATAAAAGATCAAACAAATGCATACCTCCCTAAGGACAGACATCATGGACAGCTATTCTATTTATTTATTTTTTTAATTATTTTTTGATATAGGGTCTTGCTATGCATTTTGGACTTCTAGTGATCCTCCTGTCTCAGCCTCTCCAGCACTGGTATTATAGGCATGGACCATCATGCTTGGCATGACATGTGGTAACGGGTATTGAACATGGGCTACTGTACTTTCCAGGCATGTGCTTATGCCACCGGGCTGTCTCCCCAGCCTAGGGATCGATATGCTAAATAGATGTCTTACCTTGAGGACACCTGAAAGAGTCACTAACACGGCCCCCTACAGGAAAAGACCCTGTTCTGTATTCATGACCACTTGCTACATGACTTGCTTCCCCATTTGGTCCTGGATTTAATCAATTTTGCCTGGGCAACTGTGCTTGTAACTTCATGGGTTTACCACAGTTTTGTCTCATCTCATGCCCACCTACCAAGTTCCCATGTTTTCCACCTTGGATCTGCCTCACCACATAGTTTTACTCTATACAAATCCCTAGAAAAGACAGATTGGAGGACAACCCACTCAGGCCCCTCTTTTGTCCCTCTCTCAGACAGGAGCTTTCTTTCCTTTGGTAAATATATTTTGCTCTTAACCTCTGTTGTTCCTAAAATTCATTCTTTGGTTTTAGAGCACATGAACTTGGCTCAGGTATCTTTCAGGTTGAGAGTTTTGTTCCCCTACTGATCCTGACTCTAGATATTCCCCATCACAGTTCAGGACCATGGCACAGCACAGAAGGATGAAAGATTACACAGAGTCTTTGTCTAGTCTATACCCCAAGAGGGCTCTAAGGGGCTGCCATGAACGAAGATCTCTCAATATGAGAGTCTCAAATGGCAGCCCTGATCTAAAACCTCTTTGGCCTTTTTTTAGAACCAGGAAGCAGGGATCAAAAAACAAAGAACAGGTGTCTCAAGTATGGGACAGAGGAAGAGCAAGGGTTGGTGAGGATGGCCAGTTAAATGGTTGACTTTGAGACTAATTTACATGATAAAGGAGTGTGAGGAGGGCAAAGGCCAGAACAGTCATTCCTTAAGTAATGCATTTGATCTTACTGTGACTTATGGCCCAACAGGCTCTCTTTTAATCACTAGCCATGCATTCCAGGAGTTTTTAGGCGTGTGGCTCTCAAAGCCCCTTATTTCTGCACTTCCAGCTTGTATACCTGTGGTCCGAAGCCTCATTAGGTCATAGTTGGGGCATTTCAGACCTCACTGGATTAGGGTGTATGAATGTGCATTTAAGGGTGTGATACTGGGATTAAGGCTGTAGATAATGGAAGTCTCGCCTTGGGTATGGAATATAAAGGGACAGAAAGAAAGCAGGCTTGCTGCTGCTGCTGCTG